GGGGGGGGGGGGGGGGGGGGATGTGTTGAAGAAATGTCACCATGCAAAGAAGGTAGGAAATTTATTGGTGATGGTTGAGATGTAAATTGGTAATCACTCATAAGTGGTCAATAAGTGGTTCACAAATTTAAAAAGGTTTCATTAGGAAAATTATTCTTAGACAAGACTGTTTTAAGACTGCTTCTCAACGGTACCCAGAATCTTTAAAACATTACCTTATTCCTTATGCGGATATGCGAATATGGAACATATTTTCCAGGATCTGGATGTCCTTCATGATCAACTGGAAACAAATAAATTAATAAATCTCTTTAATGAAGTGTCTAGTCATTCAAGCACTTTCGCACTAATTGGGGACACTTTTCACTCACACACACTACCACTACAATAAATTCAATGCACACAACCCTCAACTTAAAGGTTTTTTGTTACAGAGGGGGGAAATTGGTGAACCCAGAGAAAACCCTTGTAGCATACAAGAGAACAACACATCAAACAAACTCAATTCACATTTGGTTTCGATCTGCAGGGCGTGATCTGCAGTGTCTGGAATCTTTGGGACTACAGTGGTAAAAGATGACATGATAGCAGGGAATGCCGCCCATGCTATCCATAACGAATCAAAAATCAGCTGGTTAGTTGTTCATATCGCAATACACTTGATATATAATTATTGCAAAATTATAAAATAATAGAACTTTAAATCTCACCTTCTGATTGGTAGGTGTGAGTGGTTTAGGTGCTAGGGCACATGCATGTCCAAAATAACAGTTATCCTACATGTATTTTGCATTTTTATAAAAGAAATAAGCTTGCTTGTTGTGCTGTGCTCAGTCGTAAAGCTATGCATTGTGCTTCTCCCAACACGAGAGCCAATCCCAACATGCATTACAACTGCATATTGCATGTGCGCCTTTTTTTTTTTTCACTAAATTTTTTTTCTGTTGGAAATATTTGAAATATAAAATACAAATGCAGGTATTTTTATTTACCAAAAAATGCCTTGTAACCAATAAGCAGCGTAGTTGGAATGGCTATAAACAATGACTAAATGGAAAACAATAAAAAATCATTAGCAAGAAGCTTTATAATACTATTTTCCACCCTACAATGCATAAATAATGTACAATTAATACAACTATGATAACCTCTAGACCAACGTCTGTAGATCACTAAATCGTATCATTCACTTACAATTTTCTTCCAGTTACTCAGTGTTCCCTCAGCATGCTTTTCTTCTTCAGCTAATGATCTCTTAAAGCTACTCTCGAACCTTATTCTTTGTCCATTGTTAACTACAACCAAAAATATTCACAAACTATCAAATAAAATCTTCGTGGAAACAGTTTTGAACCATAATTCACAACATTGAGTGAAAATATTCGTACCATTTTCGTTGTGAAAACTCAAAATTAATGACACAATTCCAGATAAAATGTAGCCCATAGGCTAAAGTAGAAGATTCTTTAACGTTAAATATGTAAAATAGTATTAAAATACTCACAAATTCGACTAAATCGTCGTCCAAATCCGACAAGATTGAGTTGAACCCTGAGCGCCGCCATCTTGGATTAACGACTAGTACCCATAGACCATTGCGGGTTTTATCTTATGAAACTACGGGGGAGGGGGTAAGTAGAAAATAACCAGTAAGGCTGCTCTCCTCCACACAGTTACAGACTTCAAAAAGCGGCATATTTATGATTTGTTAGAAGGTTTTTTTTGTTTTAATTTAATGGGTTTGTAATTTCGTTTGTAATGGAGGTAGTGTTTGTAAGAAGGGGTGTTTTAGAAGAAAATGAACATTTTTAAAGGTAGCTGCGCTCTGCCACGCAAAGTCAGGACTTCAGAACGCTGGCTTGTTGGAAGGCATCTTGCTTTGGCCTCGGAACTTTCCCCCATATATTTACTGTAAAAGAGTCTCTTTTCAGCGTGGACACCAGTTCCTAAGGTTTTCGCTTCATGACCTTTATAGAGGCAAGCAGAGGTTTTCCCTGTCTGTAGAGATCTCTCTCTGCCTTCCGTTATGGATTAAGTCTCGTTTCTCACTAGTTCCGCTTTATACAGAGTTGGGAAAAACTATGACCTCTTTTTGCATGCGGGCAGGGCCAGCAGAGGTTCAGCTTACCGAGGTTTTTGACGGAGATGAACGCGGTTCCTTTGAAAATCCCCTACTTGTCAAATAAATGCCATTTTATGATGGAATCTAATACTGTGCCCCAAAGAGCATCTTGTAACTGACCGCTTCGGTTTAGTATTGTCAATAATCCACTCGTTTATTGTTCTAATCATTTGTGAATGTGCCAGTATTGTGAGCCAGCTTTGGCTACGTTTTTCCTCACAGTTGGACGCTTCTATCAATTTTACAATATCCGGTAGCCGACTTCCTAATTTTGACAGCTCTCGAGAAAACGTACCGTTTCGATGGGGCTTTACACGGTGTTATTTTTCGCTCTAACTCCCTAAAACTACGCTATATACAGCCTGCTTCTGTGTATATAATCTTAGCCATGTTGTCTGTAAAGTCTAAGATATTTATCTTCATCTTCATGTAAGTAGTTTACAATTATTCTCCATCTTAACATAGTTTTGATTAGTCGTTCACTTAGAGGAATCGCGCGTGCGGTTGAAGTTATTGAACGCTAAAAGACGGGGCGATCACTAGACAACGCTGTCTAAATTATTAGGGAACAAGCTTTGATTTTTTTATATTATTGAAAGAGAGGATTTTTACATTCTGTTTCTTTGTGATTATAGAGTAGTCTGTAAGCAAGCTGTCTTGAATGCGTCGCGTCAGAAAGGTGAGAGACTCGCTTTGATTATTGTTTATGTTTAAATCTTTCACGTCTTTGACTAGAATACGGTAAACTCTGAGCAAATACAACATCTCAAATGTCTTTAAGGTTAAAGTTTGTCTACTTCTTGGTTGATAAGGGTTTTCATCTCACAACAATAGTATAAAAAGCACTTACTAAATCGACGAACGTTTAATAATCATTAACTAAAGTAATAATAGGCAATTTTTAAGAGTTTTGTTATCAATAAATGCTAGTTTTGGCTCAGGCAGTTTTGGCTCAGGCATCAAAAAAGATCAAATGGAATAGAACATATGTTGAGACTGAATAATTTTGAAGGAAATGCTTGGCACAATTAATCTTAATCCATACAGGGGTCATCAGTCACATCTTGCACATGTCAGGCGATCCTTCCGAATGGGTTGAGACAAATAACACAGATATAAGAAAAAAAAAATTGTTATATTTTTGTTGTTGTTGTTGCAAAAAATATCTTTTTTCTTGCCCTGTTCGCCTGTCGAATTTCATGGAAATGCGAGAGAATTCTCGCGTGCTATTTGAAGAAACATTGTGTTATTTTATCGACTTTTTCTACAATTTTTAAGAAGCTACATGTCTGGAATTGAAAGCGCAGCACTTATGAATAAAGAAGTATTGATGGTTTTCAACCATTCCCAAGAGAATTAAATAACAAAAGACATGGCGGCCATGTTGGAGGATATAACAAAAGAATTCATTGACAATTCTTTTGTTAAGTTCCTCCAACATGGCCGCTGTAAAAACCATCAATCGCTGACTTCGTTGGTGCCTGCTAACCTTGCAACACACCTCTTTAGACCAAAGTATCATTTCCAAGAGTTTCATCTTTGTTTGACGGTTGCGCATGAGAAGATGTGTGAATTCGTAAGAGAATGACATGTGGTCTGAAAGGGGAGAACATTACACCCAGGGTAAAGAGGTCTATAAAAAAATAATAATGATGTCAAATCCGACTAGCTTTTGGGTTTCATGTGACGTCATGGCCGCCATATTGGATACCCATGACAACATGGCGACTTCACTGGCTCATTATTTTGATTATCTTACAGATAGATGCCCTCGAAGAGTAGTTATCATCAAATCTCACAGTGGAATCCTCGAGTCTCCAGGATATCCAAGTGCGTACCATTCCAAACAGAGATGCATATGGCAGATCCAAGTCAACGCTGGTTATTTAGTTCATTTACATTTTAACAAAACGTTCGATGTGCCCCATTCTCCCAGCGGTCGTTGCGAAAAGAACTGGGTACTAGTAAGCTCCAGAAGGCAGAGTTTTCGTAGGGGGGTTGGCTTTGTTACTGGGGCACATACAGTTGTGTTTTGCGGTACGAATCAACCGAGTAATATTACCTCGTTTGGTAGGAACATCTGGGTCAGGTTTCACTCGGATAAAACTGGCGAAGGAAAAGGATTTCGATTGTATTTTTCTGCTATAGGTAAGACATTAAATCTTCTGGAGGGGGAGGGGGAGGGGAAGGGGAAGGGGAAGGGGTGGGCGTAAAGTGTGGCTCGACGGGTTTTGCGAACTCTATCAGTATTTTACGCCTCCCTCTGGAAGAAGGTAAGAACCAGAACTTTAATATATTATTTAATCTAACGTAGTCTATTGTGATTGGATCCCGATATAACATTGTCTAGTACTATATTGNGGGGGGGGGGAGGGGAGGTGGAGGTAGAGAACGAATCCTGGAGGGAAAATGAAAAGTGAGAAAGAGGAAGTGGGAAGGAGTTTCAACCACTGCAACATGGCAGCTGTTTCATTGTAGTTATCCATATCTCAAGGGAAATTGAAACACATAATTGAACACTAATGCCGGTCTTATGATGTAGATATAAATGAATGTAAGACCAATAAAGGAGGTTGTGAACGACGATGTATCAATACCCCTGGAAGCTACAGATGCGCATGTCAACGTGGGTATACACTAATGACCGATGGCAAACACTGTGTAGGTACGTAATAAATAGATAAATCACGTAACCTAGGGGGAAAACCCTGGACTTGTTATCTTGTGCTCATTGACGCTCTGTGGGTTGATTTAATGGGAAAACATGGCATGATTTGGCACCACATTTCAGGGTTCAATCAGTGAGCTAGCCATACCCTGACTTAGATCAGCCCAGAGGTTGTTTCAGGGTTCTATCTGTGAGTTTGCCATGCCCTGACTTAGATCAGCCCAGAGGTTGTTTCAGGGTTCAATGTGTGAGTTAGCTATGCCCTGACTTAGATCAGCCCAGAGGTTGTTTCAGGGTTCAATCAGTGAGCTAGCCATGCCCTGACTTAGATCAGCCCAGAGGTTGTTTCAGGGTTCAATCAGTGAGCTAGCCGTGCCCTGACTTAGATCAGCCCAGAGGTTGTTTCAGGGTTCAATGTGTGAGTTAGCTATGCCCTGACTTTGATCAGCCCAGTTAGATCAGTGCAAAGGTTTTTTCATGGTAACATATAATATCGAGTTCGATGCTCAGTATTTGAATATGTACATATATTTACTTTGTCATTCAGTAATTCACGCTTGATCTGTCATTAAATGTTCTTGAAAATGATGACAGGATGTCATCGAAACGTCCAGCAATTCTTGCGTTTATTTTCTTAATCAGATGCTTATTTGGACTGTTTTTTATTTATTTTGAAGAGACCCCCAAAACAAGAATTTTGTTTAACAAAAGAAGGTACCAAGCAACAGTCACCGGGCAGATGTCCTCAGGAACTAAGCTTGTCAAGATTCGCGCGTCGGCTGACAGGACGGCACAACCACTCGAGTACCAAATATTAACCATAAACAATCGAGTACAGTCGAAGAAACGAGCTGCGTTTGTTATTGACAGAAAATCAGGTCGGTGTTTTTAGTCAAAGAAAGTTAAAGTCAGCTATATTTACTTTGATAATGCTGGGAGTGGTTACCCAATTCTCCCTAGTCAGGGGCTCTTGTATAAAGCCCTCAAAGGTGCGTCCATTACCCCCTCAGGGGTCGGGTATTTATAGATAAAGCTACACAGAATAAAGAGAAGTTTGAGATCCTAAGGATCAAACCGTAGACCTCTAGCTCTGAAGGCCTTGCACTTACCAAGCTACGTCGTTTAGAAGCATAGTTTTTCTGCATTGTAACTCACTAATTCACCCGCGCTTAATTTAATAATATTATTATTTAACTCTAATAACCGGATTTCCTCAAAACGCAAAGTGCTCATATTTTAAAATTGAATTTTGAGTATTTTATAAGTTTTTACTCGTGTTTTATAGGGGTTATAAGTCTGAAGAAGAGACCATCTGTAGGCCTTTACCGATTGCTCGTAGAGGCTCGTTTGAACGAAGTTAGTTTTGCTCGCGTCGATGTCAACATCCGTGTTCGTCCACTCAAGTCAAAACCAAAATCCTCAAGGACCTTCCGCTTCACAAATGAACATTACTCCGTCATCATCCCCAATACTGTCTTAAAGGGACAAAGAATTCTTCAACTCGATGTTAAAAAACCCAAAAATCTCGTCAATCGAACAGTCAAGTATAAACTTCGTACGCAGACTCAGTATTTTGCTCTAAGCGGTAAATATGGCTCTCTGACGGTTACTAAGAGCCTAAAACCAAAAGGAAACGTCACTATTATGCTTCGTGTCAGAGCGGTAATACGTGGCCGAGTGAAACGCGAAGCCGAAGCCACGATTTCCATCGTGGTGGTTCCGGAGTTCATCGGGAATGAGTTCGTGGAATCGTCGCTAAAAGTGGTTCATAGGAAGTCGATGTCTGGTAAGAAGTCAGGTGGAGGGCGTTCAAGGAGTGGGAAGGGACTAGCGGAGTTTAGGCTGCACCGAATGTTTCGACGGCCATCTCAAGAGGCCCGACGTATCTCTCAAGCGGACTTGAAATTCAACAATGTCATCAAAGATATCAAACTGAAGGTTGCCAAAAGGGTTTTAGGTAAATATATTGAGCCAGCATACATCATTTGGTGTAGAATATAGCAATGTTTTTGTATATGAATACGCAGCGACGAAGGTGTGACACACCGTGACGCCGCACATGCCGCGTCCAAGTACTTTAATTGGATGAGAATAAGCTTGCGCGCTGTGATTGGTTTAACAGTGCCACGGTGTGACACACCGTGACGGGGCACATGCCACGTCCAAGTACTTTGATTGGACGAGAATAATCTTGCGCGCAGTGATTGGTTTAACAGACGTCGTTAATACGGTCCCACAAATAGTCAAAATTATTCAAATATTTCAAAATGGTAAATGCTACCGAAGGCAAATCAGGCCAAGTTTTCTTTGCTCTGACCTCTTCGCCTCCTTTTAATGGCTTGCATGGCATCTTACATTTTACAACTACTTATATTGTTTTCTAGGTAGCAATGATAGATCACGCACTGACCTCGTTTCCGTGAGACTTGGTCCCAGTTCCCTCGCTTCTGAATCTAAAATGTTCGACATCATCCGTAATATTACTTGTTCGCAACCCAAAGTAAACTGCTCCGATAGCCAATACCATTCAAGGTACTGTCATTCATAGATAGACCCAACATTTCACTTTGTTATTATCGGGATTCCTGTGGCGAAGAAGAGAGAAGGAAGATCGCCGAATAGAACCCGAAACTTTAACGACATAAATCCTACATAAATCCGAAGCTCTTCGGAAAACTGCGGATCAGTTAACAATGCTTCGCTGGCATATCACTGATAGGTGTAGGAGAATGACTCAAAATGAATAGTCAAGAAAGACGAATTTTAACTGCCTGACACGTGGACAGACAGACATACAGAGTCAGAGTTAGAGAGAAGGCAGACAGACTGATGGACACACGGGCAGAGTGTGACAGACAGACTGACTAAAAGACACAAACACAATTAAATGACAGACAGACAGACACATGGACAGAAAGACAGATAGACAATGAGATGCCGAGGTTGTCAAGTAGATCTATCCTTCTAATCTATTGCTATAAACCTTATCATCAACAGATACAGAACGTTTGATGGAACGTGCAACAATCTCGACCATCCCCTATGGGGCGCCGCCCCCTCTCCATTCTCCCGCATGCTAGATCCCGTCTACTACGATGACAATCGCCTATCAGATCCCATTGGCTTTCCCGACCAGCCATTCGCGCCTCCGATATCATCACCACACCTCGTCAGCCAAGAGTTTTTTGTCCACCGTGTGCGTGCTAGTAGTAGTAGCTGGATGCATTCACACATGCTGATGCAATGGGGTCAATTTCTTGATCACGATGTAACTTTCACGGCTGAAAGTGAAGGCGCGGAGAAGTGTTTCCTTCCAAAGTAAGTTCGACAATGTAAGAGTAAATGGTTTGAACCCTGGTGTTGAAGTTTGGTGTCAAATGTGATCATCATCCGGGTGAGTGTAGTCTTGAGAAAGACTGTTGTTGGTGGTGACTGACGTTTCAACAACCTGAGCGGAAGCCATCTTCAGAGTCCAGATACAGGTTTCTACACTCACCCGGACGATCACCATGATCACACTCACCCATCGAAACACCATGGCCGAAAGCAAAGTTTAATTTAAGAAATATAAAGCGCGCTCGCATGTACGAAATCTGTTTAACATCTAAAAATAGAAACGCAGAAAAAAAAAAAAAAAAATTATTGAACCATCAAAACGGTTTTACAAATGTAGCTCTCAGTCTCACAAAGCCTAATGGCCGAATAGTTACGTGCGCATGTGCAACGCTTATAGTCATTTCATTGGATGTTAAAAATATCTTTTGTTGAAGTGTCGCAAGGGATAAGAAAGTAAGACTCAAGTTTAATTTTTTTACTTCTCAAAGTTTGCTTGCAAAACATTATCTTATATATCAAATAAGGTTTTTCAAAACGCGTCCCACATGGAAAAAAGTGAACACTGGGGTATAGTGATCAGCAAAAATATCGATTTATTAGGTCTGCTGGTCATAGCAAGGGGTTAATCGTATACGGTCTAGGGGCCGAGTAAAATCTCCCTTAGGCTTCAGCCGAGCTTCCTGATCAGTCTGTAATTCCTCCCGGGATAGCGGTGTTGGGGTCGAAATCTCCAGCGTAGCCGTAAGTCCATACGACGGTTCAGCACTCGATGTCTGGAAGTATGGTCTTGGTTATTTATTCATTTTTGTTAACAAAAACATAAATCAGTTTAGCTTCTCAGCAAATCGACAGAACTATTTAATAGATCGATTTATCAGGGCGCGATTAACTCAAAGATCGAACCCTAAAACAATCAGTGTAAATTTTCCCTATTTTCAGATACTAAAATGTATTTTTTTTTGGTTTTACAATTCAGTTGTGACAACTCACCACAAGACTTCGAGCCGCCCTGTTTTCCCATCATGTACCCTGACAATAATGAATGCACGATGTTTACGCGGTCAGCGGCTGCTTGCCAAAGCGATGATGGCAACATCACACCACGTGAGCAGCTGAACACCGTGACTTCATACATTGACGGTTCGCAAATCTATGGCTCTTTGGCTGAAACAGCGGATAATCTGAGGGATTTGATAGGTAAGGGACGGAGCATTGGATTTGTTCATTCACTCTTACATGTGTATTTATGGTGTCGTAAGCCACTAAGTAGTGTTCTTTATAAGAAAGTTATTACTCACTTCGATCTTCAGCAGAGGATTTTCTTACGCACACTATTGAGCTTTGTTTTGCTGTTGTTCGCTGTGTTCCACCGTTTTAATTTGTGTTTGACACTTCGACATGTGCTAAGTATGATATCTAGAACGCCATTTATCGTATATACACCATAACCGTTATACTCATTGTTTCAAGGTAACAGAGGATATCTGCGAACTTCAGCCGAAGATTTTCTCCCATACATGAAATCAACTCTAAAACCACCATTGAATCTTTGCCAAATTTTTGGCGGCTGCTTCGACGCGGGCGACTTCAGAGTGAACGAACAAATCGCCCTGGCCGCAATGCACACGCTGTGGGTGCGAGAACACAACAGAATAACTCAGCAACTCAACTCCTTGAACCGAAACTGGGACGATAACAAGGTATTCCACGAAGCAAAAAAAATAGTTGGAGCGGAGCTACAACATATTTCATACTCGGAGTACCTTCCTAAAATTCTTGGCGCGAATGCTATTCCTCCGTATAAAGGATACAGTAATGTTAATCCGACGATTCTCAACGTTTTTGCGACGGCTGCGTTTCGGTTTGGACACAGTACTGTGCGTCCGTCATTTTCTCTCTTGGATTCAAACTTTGAACCAATTGCCGAAGACGTACCATTAATCAATGCGTTCTTTAACAACAAGTTGGTCCAGAAATACGGAGTCAAGCCTATATTACTAGGACTTTTAGCTAATGTATCACAGGATGTTGATAGAGACTTTCCTGCAGGTTTGACAAAGCATTTGTTTCAACAGCCAGAGTCGGAGCATGGCTTTGATTTAGCGGCGCTGAATATACAACGCGGGCGCGACCATGGACTGCCCGGGTATGGAGTCTGGAGACGTGAGTGCAATCTCACGCATGCTGAAATATTTGAAGAAACATTAGATGAAATTAGAGATCCTGAAGCGCGGAGAATATTGGATCGTCTTTACAACGGCTCTGTTGAGGTCGCAGATCTTTTTGTGAGCGGTCTTGCGGAGGAGCCAGTCAAAGGAGCAATTGTCGGGCCCACCTTCCATTGTATACTTAAAGAACAGTTCAAACGCTTGCGTGACGGGGATCGATTCTGGTACGAGAACAACAGGGTCTTCACAAAAGAACAACTTGCGGAGATCAAGAAAGTCACCTTGTCACGCGTGTTGTGTGACAACCTAGTTGGAATTGTGTCGATACAGAAGGACGCCTTTGTTGCACCGACCTTGCGTGACAAACGCGTCATTTGTTCGCAGCTGCCAAGTGTAGACTTGCGTCTTTGGGAGGAAAGACAAGGTATGTTTTATAAGGAAATTGCATTTCTTAGAGTAATTATAATACAGATCCGACGCGCGCTGCAGTTTAGCGTAGAGCGATTTGTGGTTTTAGAGCATAGGTACCCTGAAACAACCTTTGGGAGGATCTGAGTCAGGGTACTGGACTTTCAGATCGAACTGGAATCAGGCGTGTTAGGTTTTTCGGAGGAAGGAAAACCTGAAAACGAGCCAGGATAAAACAAAAATTAATCCCTCGAATGCAAGAGAGAGAATTAAGCTCAACTCACATGTGATGCTTAGTCAACGTGGGACCCCAGAGATGAGATCACTACCGCTACACCACCGTAACCTTGATTACCGGCTGAGATAAAAATAGAAAATGGGCACTCAAATCCAGCTTTCTCTTTTCTTTTTTCCTCGAAATTTCTAGTCGATCCACCAACGCTTCCTCCAATTGAATTATCCCAGTGGTTCTATACAGTACGCACCGCCACGGGCAGTTGGGCAGTAGCCATTGGAAGACAAATCTGTCGCAACTCGGTGGTTGATATCCAGTGTCAATTAGCTGATGGTTCAAATCTACAGGAAGCAGGGCAGATCGTTCACTGTGAGCCATTGGTTGGTGTTTATTGTCGGAACAGTGAGCAAGGTTCTTCTAATCAAATTTGTCGCGAATTTCGCTTCCGCTTTTTGTGTTCCGACATTCCAAGGCCAGGTAACGTAAATAGACCTTATCCACTGCTTTCCCATTACAGACCATGTGTTATTCCCTAGAGTATTATTTCTTTGTTTAGCTAGGGTGTAATGTTTACCCATTACAGACCATGTGTCATTCCCTAGAGTATTATTTCTTCGTTTAACGGTTGCGCATGAAAAGATAATTGAATATGGCTAGGTAACGTAAATAGACCTTATCCACTGCTTTCCCATTACAGACCATGGTCATTCCCTAGAGTATTATTTCTTTGTTTAACGGATGCCCATGAGAAGACACATGAATATGGATACAACACAAACAAGAATCTTATTCTCAAGAGAATGACGCGTGGTCTGAAATGGGGAAACATTACGCTCCAAGTTTAAAGGGTCTATTACCTTCGTTTCATTTAACCCATGAAAACATTAATGCTTCTTATAAAGATTTAATTTCTTTTTCTTCAAGTTCCTGCTCAACCATCAGCAGAACCTCTTAAAGGATTTCCAAGTAAACCAATCCTCTCTTGTGACGGTTTGTACAAACTTTGCTCATTATTTTCACTATTCGTAGGCTTCGATTGTGTGGAAAAACTAATGCATGCATATTTAGATGGAATATCTTGAGCCTTCACATGTTTCTGCGACCAAATGATAGAACATATTTCTCAAATTTTCAGTAGTTACTAGATAAGACATTCTCTTTCGATTTCTGGAGGCGGTTTGCTTGTAGCTTGAAATTTTTTAATGCTAATGAGGAAAAAACGTAAATAAAGATCGGCCTATAGAACCAACAAGCAACTCTACTCACATGTGATAGTCGGTCTAGTGATCGAATCCACTTCCACAGCGAGTTAGACGCATAAACATGGCACACCGTCCTTGCTCAGCACATCAAACTTTGGTCCACATAGAGATCTATTAATAATCCGCACCTTTTTGTTCCATGTCAACAGCACGTCACCCAAATGATTTCGTCGTCTCATTTGTGGCTACAACATCTGTTACAATCAACAAACCGTACTCAAGCTCTACGCCCGACGAGTACCTCTTCGTTGGCAAAAACACGGGCGAACCAAAGAGTCGCTTGTTGGTGAAGTTTGACACGCGTAGAATTACTCGTCGAGCTATCGTCCACTCGGCATTTCTGTTTCTTTACTTGGTTGATATTGAGCGTGATGCGGGGTTCAGTGGATTGGAAGTCCCGCCAAATAATTTGGAAGCTTATCAGGTTTTGAGCTCTGACTGGACGGCGGAAAATACTACGTCTGTGATACCATGGAATGAGAACTATTTGGGGGTAGGGACTGATGTGGATGCAAGGTGAGTACGTTATGCTTAGAATACCAACAGTGCAGTAGTAACAACCGGTTGCAGCATGAGGGAGCAATAGCAGTGATAACAGCAGCAATAGCAGCAGCAGCTACAACAACAGCAGCGACAGCAACAGCAACAGCAAACGCAGCCACAGCAAAAGCAGCAACAAATGCAGCATAAAAAAGCAACAGCAAACAGCAACAACTAAAAATAACAGCAACAACAACAACAATATCAAAGACAGCATAAAAAAGCAACAACAGCAACTAGAAATAACAACAACAACAGCATCAAATACAGCATAAAAAAGCAACAACAAACAGCAACAACTAAAAATAACGGCAACAACAACATCAACAACAACAACAGCATCAAAGACAGCATAAAAAAACAACAGCAACAACTAAAAATAACAACAACAACAAAATAATAAACAAACCTAGCAGCAGTATTTACAACAACATAAAACTACGACGACAAAGTGAAATACTTTTCAATTGAAAACCATTCAATCCATCATTGGCAATAATGACTTCTATATATCCTTATTAATAATTTTCTTTCTTTTTAGAATATCGTTGAGTGCACCACTTTTGCTGTCACAAACAAGCAGGTGGATCTCTCTGGACGTTGCGCACGCACTCAGGAACTGGCAAATCCGCCGACAACCTAACTACGGGCTCATGGTCAAAACCAGAAAAGAAACAAGTGCAAATGCTGTGTATAGACTCGCTTCTTCTGGGAACAAAAATGTTATTGTTCGTCCGAGATTACTGGTTTGTTTGACTGTACCGCCATGGTGAAGCAATGTTTCGATCCTTCCTTACACACAGACTTTAAACTCAGATTCGAATCTCAAATCTCGCACGTTTGTTATGGATAAGAAAGTTTTGGATTCTTGCGAAGTCTCTTTATATTTTATGAACGGAATTTCGTGAAGTTAAGCTCATATCAACACAGTAAGACTGCGAGCGGTCCATATTTCCCCTCAAAATTCAGTAATGGCGATTGCTTTGGGATTCCTGTGAAGGCACGAAGATTGGAGCCGAATATTGACTATACCCTTTGAGCCAATCGAAGCGCACGGGATCATTATTTAACCAATCAAAATGCTTGTACACAGCGCCGCCAAATTAACGGCACGTCTGAACCGAACGTTTTTTACAGGCATACTAAATATACTCTATAGAATTATAAAGTGTTGCAAAATAATAAATGCCTAGCTTTCTTTTAAAAGATCAAGATGTAGCTCAGCTCTTTCGGCGCCAACGGCTACTAAAGTCGATAGCTTGGCAGGGCGCCATTAAACACTATCGAACCAAAAGCTGTATCAGATTATTGGATTTTCCCAAGTTCTTAGTTTTGGCGAAGTCCGCTGAAAAAACTTCGTAGGCGCAGCTTGGAACAATGATATACTCGCCCAACGTCAGGCGGAAGAGAGCATGCGCAAAGGGTATCGAGTCTATGACACTTACGAAGCCGGCTGAAAGTTTACAATGCATTCTGAATGCTCGATATATTTCATATTTCTCCTAACGTAAAGCTACAACAATCTGACAATTATTTACATTTCCGTTGCGCTTGTTCATTTTGGTAAAATTGAGATTTAAGAATATTTACATTGGAAAAGAAAACATTTGAAAAAGAGAACTTCTCGTGCATTTTAGAGTTCTTAGGATCGTCACGCAACGTTTCTCTCCCCACGAACGACGAAATGTTGCGTGACAACGTCAAGACCACTGTATAGGAGGCGGCTAACCCTATTCGGTATTCCAATTTGTTTTTCAATATTTGAACATCATGTCAACCTCCTTAGTAGCATTTTCTTTTTTACTGAGGACGCAAAATGACATTTATAATGCAATAAAGTTTCTAAAAAGAAATATGGGACAAGAATAAGTTCTTCGTCAATTAAAAAGATCGAAATGTATCGCACTACTGCCCCACATGCAAATTTAAAACTTTTTGTTTTTATCTTAGAGGGCATTTAAATTTACATTTTACTCAAGCTCTTTCCGATAATTTTTATTTTTTACTGCGCATGCTCGACGAGAATTATTTTGTTGAGCATGCGCAGTAAGAAATTAGGGACCTTGGAACGAGATTTTGTTTTACTCTGCTGGTGTAATAGTTATCGTGACCAGAGGTTTGCGCATGCGTGCGGTTAGGGCTAAAGACTGTGACCTTAATCTTGATCTCGACGATCGAGACACGCTCTCGCTTTTCTTGTCAGCTACTGTGACTTGCATGATTTGATCTTCGATGTCGTCTTCAGTCTCATCCTGTAATTCAACTTGGCTTTTATGAACGTCGACCCTGTGGTTATTCTTAGTCGCTTCGTCGTGGTTTTGTGGCTCAGCGGTCTCTTTGGAATGACATGCTCTTTGGCTATTCGTATTTACATTGAAAGACTCTGTATTGCGCCTGGCGGTAAGGTCTTCGTTTCCTGTTTTCATTTGCCTCCCATCGGTCGTGCTGAGGCTCACTCGTGGCGAGACAACGTTTCGTCTACTCATCCTTGACCTACAGTTTGGGCGCTCTTCCTTCAAATCGATGTCTTCATACGTTATCCCGTGCTCTCGATCATCAGCTCCAAGTAGCTCGTCCTCCATCGACAGCCTCAGTCCAATCAGCTTGTCGATCACAAAGAACTGTATTCCTACCGTCACAACAGTCCAAACTGAAATCACAACACATGCAAGGACTTGAATTCCAAGGATTCTGACATTGCCTCCTTTGAACGCGCCGTATGTATTCGAGAAGGTCTCTTCGAGTCGATCGGGCTCTACAAACATCCCGACGGCTATCATTCCCCATATAGACCCTCCTGCGTGTATCGATATAGCGCCGACTGGATCATCCACTTCGAAGCGTTCTAGTATCTGCCATCCTATTGTAGCTACAGCTGCGCCTATTATACCAATGATGATGCTCTCCCCAGGTCTTACTACGCCACAGATTGCCGTGATGCTTACCAGGCTTCCCAGAATACCGGACATAAAAAGTGGAATATCCAATCTGTATAGTAATATATAAAGGTATTACAGTTTACATTACAGTTGACTTTTGCAAATGATTTGTTCTTAAGCAAGGCTTAGCCTGCGCAAGCGGCGGTATTTTTCGAATGAGAAAAGGGACAATTCAGAATTCAACTTAGTACGTAAGAGAATTTTGGTAAAGTAAATTAAGCCTACCTGTTGAAAAGTATGTAGCTGTATATGGTTACAAACACTCCTCCTCCACACGAAGCATTCAGGGTACAGACAGCAGAGCGAGATGCGAGCTTCCACTTCCCGCCGCTGACACCAAATGTACTTCCACAGTTGAAACCAAGCCAGCCCCACCACAACATAAACATCCCTAGAAACACCAACAGATTACTCTGATTGTTATATACGTTTGATAATATGGAGGGGTAGGGGTAGGGAGAACAATATTAAAAAGTACTACGTAAGGGGGAGGGGTAGGGAGAACAAT